AATAAACTCTGGATGATTTGTTATTAATCTAACCGAATGGAACAAACAAGTGGGAATGGGAAGAAAAGAGAAGGAAACGAATGAAACAAAGCTATTGTTCCCCACAGATTTGATGATTAGTGAGTGTACAGGTAGGGGGGTTCGGCCACCACCCCATCGGCCGCCGAATGGCGGAACTAGGAAGCCGAATGCCAATCGGCCACCAGGATCGGCCTACCATCATTTGGTACTCTTAATCAAAGATTAGGGGTTAATTAGTCGATTAAGGTGTATTACCTAATACGGTAAGTACGTCACAGGGCCCATGGGGTCCAGGGCCCATAAATGTCAGTATAAATAGCTCAGGAAAAAAGGTAACGTCACTGTTCATTAATTATCCTAGATATCTGTGCTTGTCCTGACTTGAGCGTTGGAGTGCCTTCTGCAGGTACCAACCCCTCTACTCACATCGGATCGGAGCACTCGTTCGGCCTTCAGACTGCGAGAAGATCATTGGTGTATCCTCTTTGTAGGTACAGTGAGCAAATGCTATCGAACTCCATTACCCCTCAAGTTTCCACCATTCCACCTCTTGAATTTGTTTCTTTCATTTTATTTTAAACTCCCAAGGAAGAAATATTTTTGTGTTTCCCTTGTTCCCATCTGTCATCCTAACCAGTCATCCGAATACAGTGTATAGATGTAGCTGTTATGTATTTAATCTTAGGTAGCACAACTAGGGGTGGGTATATGGACTCGAGTCCGCGGACCGGTCCGTAAGTCCGCGGACTTCACGGATAACGGACTCAATTTTTTTAATCCGTATAATCATATGGACTTTTTAGGTCCGGCCCGTTAAGTCCGCGGATTTTGCGGATTTAATCCGCGAGCCCGCGGATTACCCGTTTAAATGTGGAACTTTAAATTTGTTTGGTTGTGTATTAAGACTTTTAAAGTTTTAAGGTAGTAAGGCTTTAATATTTGGTTAATAGTTGGTATGCTTGGACTTTAAATTTTAAAGGCATTGAGACTTAAATATTTCTATTAGAAATTTAGAATGTATAAACTTTGTTATTTAAGACTTTGGTTTATTATTTATATAATGTTTGATGTTACTATTAGAAGTATATTTATATCATTTTATATGTATTTTTTTTCCTCATGTTTTCATAGGTTAAATAAAGAAAAAGAAATTCAAAATCTCATTAAATGTGTCAATATTCATTAAAAAAATTTAGATTTAATTGGGCCCGCGGACTTATCCGTTTATCCGCGGGTTTCACGGGCCGGATACGGACTTGAAAATTTAAGTCCATTTATTTCGCGGACCGGATTTATCCGGCCCGTTAAAAATGCGGATTTCGCGGACCGGGCCTTAAACGGGCCGGACCGGTCCGCATACCCACCCCTA